GGGAGCCAGAAGAACTGAATTTTCTATAGAAAGAGACCAGATTGTTCATGTTATTCATGAGAGCTACGTGCCACAGGAGTACATAAGTGTTGTTTGGTCCAAAGAGACCCACTAAACTCAATCGCACAAACATCATGAAAGCCATTAATGGAGTTAGTGCATCTATTCCTAACGTAGGTATGATACAGGCTGAGCACAGTGCAGTCCTTGGAATGTTACCTGATTTTATGGCCTAAGTCTGAGTCTAGCTGCAAAGATGTGGCGAATCTCAAATAGAGAATTCTGAACTCAGGTTTACGCTGAAGCGACTAACGTCACGTGTTGATTAACTAAGAACATGTGGAGTATTGCTACTAACTTTGCCAATTCTCTGTCTCCGTCTTCTTCTGCTGTGTCTTCTACAGGCTTTACCTCAACTGGTGCTATCATGAAGCCATCCAAGTCTAGGACTGCCGTCTCTATTGCTGTAAAATGTGCTGATGCTCGCTTTGTGCGATCAGCTATTGCCGCCAAACGCAAGCTTGGCAGATTGTCCTCATTCAAGATTAACCTCACAAAACGACCACCAAATGCTTTGCCAATTTTTTCTCGTGACTTTGAGGTCTTGGTTATTGAGCTACTACCTTCCTGGACGTTTTAATTACGTGGAAGAGCTGAAGCTACTCTTAAGCAGGTTAGCTTTGAATTTGTCTGGGCCAAAAACTCGAGTGTCTAGGCCAAGTTTAAAAGTGGGGACATCACACTCTTCATGTCTTGTCTAGGAAACCTCTAGAAACACAACCCTGATCAACAATTTCTAGCAGTTCTTAGATGACCATCATCTATCTCTACATTGCATACACTGAAATGTGGCCTTGTATGATATCTTTTAATGTACTTATTTTGAGAGAAAATATCTGTGACTTCACAAAGCTGTCTTATTATGTAGTTATTCACAGTCTGTATCTATAACTATTTTACTGTCTCATGTAACTTTTCGTTTCATTGATAAACAATAAATTCTACTATCTATGTATTTTTTTTACTCGTTAACTTCGATCTCGCTCGCTTACTCACGTTTAGTAATGCTCAGAACTTTCTTTTTACAGAAATCTTTTCCGACGATTTGTAGAATTATTTCATTATTATAAATAAGAAATTATCTTCGGCAGAGTTGAGTTTAGAATAAATTAACCTGAGTTGATAGAAAAATTATTTTATTGAAGAACAAAATTCTGAAATAATTGTTTTTTTTTAATGAATATGATACCTGTTGTGCTGTTGTATAAGCGCCCAGTTCCTCTCTTCTGTAATCCAGTATCATAGTTAACGGTTACAAATACTTCATTGTATTCGGACCAGTCTTTCTGTTCTGACTTCGAGTCGGCCGTTATAAGAAGAAATTGAATTAAACTAGTGGACTATAAATTGAATGAATGAGGTTGGATGCTAGAAGGTTCATGAACAAAAGTTCAGCACTAAGAACATGGTTCTATGGGTTTATATTAAACTTAAACTATGAATATAACACTAGCACGTTTGAGATTGATGATTTTCGTTCACGTTTGTCCGAGAGACACTTACTAAGACGACTGATATAGATTTGTCTGAAATCCGTAAGTTTTACTGCACAATGCCTTGATTTGGCCGAGAGAAAAATTACAAAGTTGACCGCGTGATTTGCCTGGTGTTAACTGACGCCACAAGTGCTCGACTGCATGCTTGTCGGCGTCACTAGGGTCGTAGAGTTGGCATCACACAATTTTGAATATTAGAATTGCTGACTTGGGGTCGTCCAAGTAAGAACATTGTCCCACCATCAACAACGCCTTTGCTGATCTTCTGCTGGTGGAGTGTATGGTAAGATGACTAGCTTGGTGAGTGGTCTGATGAGTTCTGCTGCTGCTGTCTTGAGTGTGATTGTTCTGATAAGTCCATCTGCTCCTGAGAACACCTCCTTCACACTGGCGAGAGGCCACTTTGTTGGTGGGAACCTCTCATCTGTGAGTAGTACAAGTGAGCCGACTGTGATTTAGTGTGATGGGTGTTTCTATTTGGAGATGGCGAGTTGCTGCTGGAGGTATTGTTTTGAACAAGTTAACCAAAACAATTGGAGTCGCTGCTGAATGAACTGCCAACTGGATAAGCGTGGCATTAGCACGTCTTCTAGTGAAGGCTCTGGTAATGTCACGAGCGATTCACTAACGAGGAAGTGTGCTGGAGTTATTACTGAGATGTCTGTAGAGTTAGATTAGAGAGGCTCGAGTGGTCTGGAGTTGAGGACTGCTTCTATCTGGACAAGCAGTGTGGAAAGCTCTTCGTATGTGAAGAGTGAGTCACCTGTAGTTCTGTTTAGATGAAACCTTACTAATTTGGCTGCAGCTTCCCACTTTCCTTTTATGTGTAGTGCAGCTGGTGGATTAAACTTCCACTCCTTTCCATCCTTTGAGGACACAGCTGCAAGTTGACTGAACTCGTGAGTCCCCTGCTTGAAAAGTTGTCTGATGAGCGTGTCTGGGCCTCGAAATGTGGTGTCACAATCACTGTAGAAAGTCCTGCAGACACCTCGACGTCCAGGACGCCGTCTCAACGCTGTAATAAATGGGTCTGCTGAATAATCTGTAACAATACCTCAATAGAGAGCTGATGTAACGAAGCGCATAAAAATGCACATCTAACCGTTGGTTGTTTTGGCGCCTCTGCTTTTCCAAGTCTTTAGTGTGACAGGACCAGCGTAATCCACACTACGGACTTCAAATGGTCGAGCTGGAGTGATTCTTGATAACGGCAATTGACCCATTAACTGCTTTGCTCGTACGCCACGTAACCGAACAAATTTTATACAATGACAAATATAAGATTTCACGGAGAGTCGTCCTAAGATCCAGTAAGATAATCGTATGAAGTTCAGAGTCGCCGGCGTCCCAACATGCAATGTTCTTTCATGAGCATCTGCAATGATTAGTCTGGATAAGTGAGTCTTCTGTGGCAAAATCACCATGCCTCCCCCGTCCGAAGGACAGAAATTAAGTACCTCGCGAAAAATCACGTTTTTTTTTTTCGATAAATTTTTTTTCATGAAATCTCTCTCAAAGCAGACGTCAAATGAGATATGTGAACGTCAATTATATGGGACATCCTATCTTATGCTAACAATTCAATAACCCATATGATTCATTTATCATCAGCGTCGAACTACTATCACCTTTACTTCTTGTATTTTTTTTTTTTTGTTCGTTTTAAATTACTTTTTCTTACTTTATTTATAATGAACTATATTCTCTATAGAAGGTGTTTTGCGTTTATACTTTTTATCAGGTTATGGGCCCAGCAGTAAGATGAAACAGTAAAACATGTTTGTATAAAACGAGTGTGGTACAATTTTTCTTCTGCCTCTTAAAACAATATTTCCTATAATATTCTGTTGCACCAAGAGGTTATAAACGTTGGATCAAAATGAACATCACAGGCTTGAGTGTATCAGAAAGACTTAGTGATGAAAATTATGAGCCCTAGAGACTACAACTGGAAAGCATATTAGTCTATAACGATTATTTGCAACATGTTCGTGGAGAATCAGTATGACCAAATGCCACGGCTGTTGTTGAACTCAATGTATGGATCAAAGCTGATAGTAAGGCAATGGCATCAATCACAATGGGAATAACACAAGGTCAAGCACGCCACATCAAAAATTGCACTTCATCAAAAGAAGCCTGGGATATAATGGGAAGAATACATCAATCAAAAAGTCCAGTACGTAAATCTGTACTTTATCGAGAACTTTATTAAATGAGAAAAGAATCGAATGTTACAATGATTAAACACCTCGGAGATTTTGTTGATAAAGCAAATAAACTCGAAGAGGCGGGTATAGAAATTCCACCAGAATTGTTGACAATTATGTTACTAGATACATTGCCTAGCAAGTATGAAAACTTTATTGTTGTAATGGAGTCTAAAGAGGAGATTCCAACTCTTGAATTCCTGAAGTCCTGATTGAAGACGAGGCAGGGCGTTCTGGTACAGAAAAACTTACGGAAAATGCACATGGGGTACTATATAACCAATATAATAATAAACGACGTTTTCCAGGGAAATGCCACAACTGTGGCGAATTTCATCATATGATTAAAGATTGTCGGAGTAAACCTGCTGCTAGCATATCACTGAATCATTCTGCTCAACACGTCGAAGGTGAAAGTATAGTTGATGCTTTGATCATTAAACCTACTAGCACAAGAGACTTAATAGGCGTTATGGAATCGAACCTTCGTACTGGAAGTGATCAAGTTTGGTGCCTTGATAGTGGTGCAACTGCACATATGTGCTAAGATCGATCATTGTTTTCGAAGATTAAAGCCCGTTCTAATTGTACTGTAAATACTGCAGGTTCTGACAATCATAGAAAAACAAACAGCAAAAGTGATGCGTTCTGATGGGAGTGTTCTACTTCATGGTCATCGGGTTGGTAAATTATATGTGGTAACAGAAACGATCGATCAACTCACGTATTATACTAACAATGCAGCAGCAAATAATGTCGAATGTTGGCGCTAAAGGTATGTCCATCTCAATTACCGTGTTTTACATATGTTAGAGATTGAAAATTTAGTAATTGGTCTTAATTTAAAAGGTGAATATCGAAAAGCCGATTATATTATTTGCAGTGAAGCAAAAATACATAGTTTACCATATTAACCTGCTGCAAATACAGCCGTTAGAGTCCTAGGTTTGATACATAGCGATGTTTGAGGACCTGAACGCACCGAATCACTTGGAGGTTTGAAGTATTTAGTTAATTTCATTGATGACAAATTCAGATATATTGAAATTTTCTTAATAAAGAAGATATCTGAAGTTCGAGAAGCATTTAAAAAAAATAAAAATAAAGTCGAAACCGAAAAAGGGCTAAAGAAAGGGCACTCTTGGATGAAAAAAGAACCCAAAGACGTCTTACGGAAGAATACAACCCACAACAAAACAGTGTGGCAGAGAGAGCAAATCGAACTCTTGTTGAGATGGCGCGATCAATGTTAATTTATTCAGAATTACCGAAATTCCTGTGGGCAGAAGCAGTAAATACAGCAGTCCACATTCGTAATAGATGTCCAACACATGCTTTACAGTACAATATAACACCTTTCGAGTGCTGGTATGGTTATGAGCCAGATGTCAGCGGACTACGAATTTTCTGTAGTACAGCTATAGCTTTAAAGAAAGGACCAAGTCAAGGTAAATTTGAACCGAACGGAAAAGAACTTATTCTAGTAGGCTATTCAAATGAATTCAAAGCATATAGACTATACAACGCCAATTAAAAAAAAATTGTAAAAACAAACAGACACGACGTAATACTTCTTTCTAGAAAAACACTTTTTTTTTCTGTTCTAATATTTCTCAATACCGATCACCCTCTCTTTGTAGCAAAACAACCCTCAAGTAGCATTAACCTCTCTTTTCGGATATTCCTTGGTCAATGAATCTGGTACTTTTAATTCTTTCAATTACTTGATCGATACTAGGGGAAATATTCAGAACTTGACAGTAATTAATAGTCATTTTTCCAAATTCAATCATTTTAGTCATTATTCTTTTATTATTGGAATTTTCCGGTATTCTTATGAATTAAAAAAAATTTCTCTTAATATACTGATTACTTTCTTAACGTCTAATCCGTACTATTATCAATAATTCATGGTTACGTCAATTTTAACTTAATAAAGTATTCTGAGAGAATTATGAAAAGAAACAATCAAATAATAAATGTTACTTTAAAAAGTTCTACCAATAAGCAATAAATCATCTGTATCTCATATACGCAATCAAAATCAATTATTTTGTAGTGAAGAAAAGAAATTGATAATCATCACCTATTAACACTTTTCAAATTACTTAGAGAGAATTGTACCTCGTCAACACATATTAGTAGAAACGATTAGAAATACGAATGGAAAAGTGTACTCCCTGAAGTATCAGTTCTTACCAAAAGAAATGATAAGTCGAAAATCTCAAAGCTAATTGGTTTTGACTTTATCCACTCTTGGTAAAGTCAACGTCTTCTTTGAACAATATATATATATTATTGTTAAAACTTGACAGTTAGTTGCGATGTCGTGTTTCAACCAAACAAACGTAAATTATTGTTTCAACCCTAAAGCCTAATCTATTTTGGACACACTTAAAGCCTTAGTCTACGTCTAAGAGGTGTATCTATATAAAGATAACAATCTGTATGGAAAAAAAACCCTATTTTAAAATATTATTCAGTGGAAATCCAAATTTGAAATTTAAACTAAAAACAAAACAATATTATTACAATTTAATAACTATAATCACAGTTGTGTATTACAACTAAAAAACAATATGCATAAATTGGAACAAAAAAAATTATCTCTTTAAAAATCAACTAAACTAGATTTCGGTATTTTTTTGAAGTTGATTAGTTATTCTTAGAACAAACTTTATAACTAATCAGCATTTAACTTTAAGAGCAGTCTACATAGATATCGACCTTGTGCTCGCCACTCACCGATTTTTACATTTATAGCACCCTTATTAATCTGTTCTAGTAAATGGCACTTCTGAAGTAGGTGAAAATTCAAATTTTTAAAATTGGTATTGATTTCATGGCAATAATCGTTACCAACCTTTTTTCACTTAATAGTGTTGTGTCCGACTTATTATTTACAAATTCTTTTTTTACTCTTATTAACCTCCTAGTGGGAAGTTATAGTAATGGGTCCGATTTAGCGAATCTTGAATTTTGACATATCTTCACGTTTTAAGGTCCCTAGAGTCGAATACGATCATTTTCCAGTAGACGTTTCTGTATGTGTATGTACGTATGTGCATTCAGAATTATTTTTCGCCTCGATTATCTCGAGAACAAACAATGATGTCGATGTGGGACCAATTACATTCGACACGTCATTATTAATTATTTCTTAATTTATAAATTATAGCAGTTTTTAGACAAAATTTCGAAATCTTTGAAAAAATATGAATATTAAATGATAAGAATACGTGTCCCAAAATATGGTGGCAATATTCCATCGAAAAAAACAAAATCAGCAATGAAAGAATTTTAAACTCGTGTCAGGATTGAGAAAACAGCATAAAGACGCTATAATAGTCAATAATAATCGTCAATAATATGGAATATTGTTACTAAAAAGTGATTATTGATCATAGTTCTATTTAAATAATAAGTTTGGAATAGTTATAAACAATAAAAATAGGGACCGTTTCTTCATCTATGAGTACTTTTAACGCATAATTTTTTCTTTTACTAAGAAAATGTTACCAACCGTATGACATAAATGAAAATATACTTTTTTCGTGTATGACAATGAAATTTGTTGTAAATGATGAAAAAAAAGATCTATGAGGTACATTCGAATTCTTCTAACGCACAATTTTTTCTTATACTAAAATAAAGTAACTAACCATATCAAATGAATAAAAGCAGACTCATTTCGTTTATAACAATTCCATTTGTTATTAAGAATGGAAACAGGATCTATTCGAATTGTTTTTTCATTTTTTCCACGGGGAAGTTGGTCGTGTGGACCTTTCGGGTCGCATCCAGACCACTGCAGCACAGATGCTTTATCGTTCCGTTCCTCCAAGAAACTTCTGGCGACTAACGCCAAATACTGGAGCTACCTGTAGACTAATCAATTGTTATCGGAGCTCCTCGTCACTGACCAGAAATTAATTAAGACGGCCCACGTATTTGGCGTCGCGAGAATTTCATGATGTCAGTTTGATAAATGACATAAAATTCCGTAGTACACGAGTGCTATTGTAAAAACAACAAATAACAGGCGTAGTAAATTTAAACGGAACCTCCTCTCCTCCACCCTCTCCTCATCAAAAATAAACTCTAAGTGTCGGAAAAAATTTTTTTGACTCATCTTCATTACTCCTGGCGGACTTGTTAGTAGGCGCTGTAGGTAAATTTCAGAAAATATTCGAATGAAAAGAAATTCATTCTATAATCGTCGACATAATTTAATTGCATTACATGGAGATGATTGAATGTAATCTTGTTGAATTAAATGAGTTGCGGTGCGAAACGCTCTAAGATATTGACAAAGATTTCAACAAAGTCCGGGAACATGTTTAATGTTGCATCATCTTCAAATGCTTTAACTATTTTTTCCGGTAAAAAAACAATAAATTTATTACCTAATGTTGCAATAACTAAATCACCATGCTTCGCATCGACTTTTCTTAGTCCTGTCATTTGATAGGGCTTTGTTGTCTTTAATTATCCCATTTTTTTATTAGTTTTTTGTGTATTATTGGTAATGCTGTTGATGGAATCCATTTTACTTTACTTAACAATGCACTATTGAATATTTATGTATTTTCTGAACTGACATGTCAAAAATCTATCCTGTTCTTTATAAACGTTACTCTAGCGGTTGATTTTGGAAATACATTTATTTTCTAACAACGGGTTTTTCTTTGTTTTGTGACTCGAAGAATAATACGTCTCAACTTTTCTGTTAAACCTCTTTGTTACCTTTTACATAAATGACGTCATAAAGACAACTATTGTTCAGTTCATCGGGGTAAGATTAACTTCTTTGGAAGAATAATGATGTCAGAAACTTCATCAACGAAAGAATAGATTTTATTTTCCCTTAACCTGTATTGCATATAAACGACTAAACTTGTGCATTGAAAATTAGTCGTTTAGAGAGAACGAGTGATTACCATGGATTTGATCATTGACTTAAGTGGTATGAAGCAACTTTGGTGGACCGTAATCTTATTTCCTATTACAAAGTAGGGATAAATTTGTGTCCAGCGGAGCGGTGCCGCGAGTGGTTGGGGTAGGCGCATAGCGCGAAGTGGGGGTTAATATTTACATGTGTGAGAATAATTATGTCAATAATTATCCTCTATAATTAGACTGTTCATTGTAATTAGCCTTGTTTTCAATTATAAGTATCATAAGTAGTTATATTACATGCAGTTATTTTAATAATTCTTATATTCATGTATTATTGACGCATGCGCATAACAAGGGCCTCATATTACAATTGTAAGCCTGAGATGCATTAAAAAGAATCGACATGCCATCTAACGTTGAGAAATATAACGCACGGCTAAACAGGTACGATAGCAGTGCCTGTGTGCAGACAATTTATATTGTACATTTTAAATTAGTATTCAAATTAAATTATTTTTTTCACATTGAAGTAGACGTCCCAGTTGTTGAACAGTTTATTATAATAAATAAATTACTGTTTTTAATTTTTAGTGAGTTCACTATATTACATTTGGAAATTCAATTTCATTTGGATGTTAACAGACTAATTTAATTTATTTCAGTTCAGAACTGAGTAGCTTTCTGTATTTTTCATTTCTCCAGATAGCCAATAGCAATGTCACGTTCAGTTAAAATAATGACATCAATATTAAAAGAAGAAAAACCTTGCGTGAGATAAATGTTATCGGTAAGTTTTGATTATACAAAATAAGGGCAAGAAGATAAAAAATATTTGTAACTTAGTTTTACGTCAAAAAATGGACTATGTTCGAATTCTCACTTCGATAAAGTTCGATTTTCTATAAATATATGTCATTTTTTTTTCATTTAAATATTTTAAACAGTTATTTTTTTTAACATTAATTAGTTTATAACAATCCAGCTTCAAGCTACGATTTACATGCAAAAAATTGTTATCAGTCAAGCATAATATAAATATTAATTATTGAACAATAATAGGAATAGTCATGTCGACTCAAATGAACAATCATAAACTTTATAATACGTCAAAGTCACATGAAAAAGAAGTCAGTGATTCAGTTCGTAATGGTCATAAAAAAGTAGAGCCTAGTCATATTGAACTACTTAAAGTTCTTGGTCAAGGTTTATTATGAAAAATTTTTCTAGTGAGGAATGTTTTTGTTACGATAAAGGTACTTTATATGCAATAAAAATCTTGAAAAAAGCAACACTCACAGGCATTAATTATTTTAAGGATTTATATAATTAATTGCATGACTGATATACTTTTCGTTTATATTGAATATTTCAAACAGTTATGATAAATGAAGTACATACAAAGTACAGAAAATTGTTGTTTTATTATGTAATGTAATGTAAAATGCTTATGAATTTCAATGAAACTAGTAGAATAATGACGGTGGTTCTAGCCTATCCTACCATACTGACTGAGCGACCCTGATCGGTAAGTTACCCACCGGGTCGGCAATCTACCGACTGTGAGTGTAGTTGCCGATATCTCCGCTAGATGGCCTTGTTGCTGACCTGCAGTCGGCAACTTATACTGATTTCACCGTCGGGTGGCGCTGTGACTACCTACAGTCGGTAATTGTTACCTATCCAGGTAGTGCTGCTGTTGTTGCGGGTAAAAAATTTGAATTTGAATTTTTAAAAATTGTAAATTTCAATTTAAAAAATTTTGTAGGTAATTGTCACCAATTTAGTGTTCGTAATTGTTACCGATCTCTTTTACCAGGTTGCACTGTTGTAATGACGCGCGAAATGTGAATTTTTGAATTTTTATGATGCTAACATTTAACTTATATATTTTAGGAGTATATTTCATATAACTTATATACGTTTATTCTATTATTATATTATTTTTGATACTTTATTTAATGCATAAACCTTACTTCAAAGAAAAGGTTGAGTTGCAAAAAATTAGATTTTTAATTGTAATTAAACAAATTTTTTTTCATAATTGACAAAAACATACAATTAAATAAACTTTTATATTATTTCCTCAAAATATCTACTTCCTGCCCATTCAGTGTCGTATGTCATGGAATCTTGAGGGGTGTTGTCTTCATTTGTCTCAATAAATTTCAAATTATTTCAATTTCTACCAATGTATTAAAGTGATAAGTTATTTTTAACTTCCCAGTGGGAAGTTATAGTAATGGGTCCGATTTTGCGAATCGCTAATTTTAACATATCTCCACGTTTTAAGGTCCCCAGAGTTGAATACGATAATTTTTACGTGGACGTCTGTGTGTGTGTATGTACGTATGTGCGTATGTTCGTATGTGCGTATGTGCGTATGTTCGTATGTTCGTACGTGCGTTCGGAATTATTTTTCGCCTCGATTATCTCGAGAACAAAAGATGATATCGACGTGGGACCAACTGCATTGAACGCGTAATTACGTAACTTAGAACTGATTAGATTTTCAGCGAAATCGGTCCAGCCATTTTTTATGCATAATCAAAAAACTGAAAAAATAGTGAACTACCTAAATTCTGCAATTTATAAATTATACTATTTTTTAGACGGAATTTCGAAATCTTTCGAAAAATATGGATATCAAAAGTTCAAAATAATTGTACAGAAATATGATGACAGTATTTCATAGAAAAAAAATTTTTAAAAGACGAAATCAGCGATAAAGAAATTTTAAACTTGTGTTGGGATGGAGAAAATAGCGTTGAAGATAATAAAATAGTCGATGATTATTGTTGATAATAAAAAGTTATGTTATATGATCGATAATCATTATTGATAACAAATGATTATCGATCATAATAATATTTGAATAAAAAATTTTTTAATTGTAATAAACAATGAAAATAGAGATCTATTCAAAATATTCGAATTCTATGAACGCGTGATTTTTTCTTTTTCTAAAAAAAACTTACTAACCGTACAACATGAATGGAAACTTATTCTTTTTGTTTATAACAATTTAATCTGTTATAAACAATGAAAATAGAGATCTATACAATATATTCGAATTCTTCTAACACGTAATTTTTTCTTTTTCTAAAAAAAAGTTACCAACTGTACGACATGAATGGAAACTCATTCTTTTTGTTTATAACAATTAAATCTGTTATAAACAATGGAAATAGAGATCTATGCAATATATTCGAATTCTTTTAACGCGTGATTTTTTCTTTTTCTAAAAAAAAGTTACCAACCGTACCACATGAATGGAAACTCATTCTTTTTGTTTAGAATAATTAAATCTGTTATAAACAATGAAAATAGAGATCAATACAATATATTCGAATTCTTTTAACGCATAATTTTTTCCTTTGCTAAAAAAAAGTTACCAACTGCAGAGCACTGATATTTCTTTATAAAGTCGATCAAGGTGTTGTATCAAGTGTCGTCTTTTAATGCTTTAGTTAATCTTTTCCGCAGAAAAACTATAAATTTATCATCCAATGTTGCAATAACTGCATGACCATGCTTTGCTTCCACTTTTTTCAGCTCTGTCACTTGATTTTTGAGTATTATTTGCAATACTGTTGATGTAATCTATTTTTGTATTTCATTTCACTCAACAGTGTATTAAACTTGACAACTCAATTTGTACTATTATTACTTTGCTTTCTCTTAATAGTGCACAACTAAGTGTGGATCTGATGATCTCTGTAGCAGAACTGACTTCAAAATGTCTCGTCTGTTTATTATAATCTACACCTTCAGTGAATTTCCGAAACACATTTCCTGTCGACGCAATTTCTTCTGTTCACTGATGTTTTTTCTAGAAAATACGTTACACTTCAGGTTTCAGAAATTTTAACCGTTATATTTAGTTCTTAGAATTTCCTTTGTCCGTTTTATTAGAATGGTGTCTATGTCAATGACGTCATAAAACTTTTTCCCATCGTATATTACGTTTTATTTTTAGTATAATAAGCAAAGTATTAACATCATTTTTAATATTGTGCAGTGAAAAAGAAAAATGTGTAATGAAGAATGAAATGTTTTGTAAAATGCGTTTTAAAAAAAATAAAAAACAATTTCTTATATAATTCATTTTATTTTATTCATACAATTCATTTTCTTCAGTAACACAGGATTAATGATAATATTATATTGTTCTATTCGTAATCTGAATCTTTCTCTACCTCGAGCTGCTTCTTTCCAACATCCTTGTCTGGCTGCTCTGTATGCATTACGTGTATTTTCGGTTGAAGATTAAATTGAACAGTTTTTCGTTATTATCGGGTATTGGTTTTGTAGATTCAAATTCGATTCGCACATCCACAGGCCCAGATTTTAATGATTCATTTTGTTTTGAACAATCGACGACAATTAACGGTGCTTTGCCGATAAATTGTTCTTCTGTGAGAAGAGGTTCTGAATCTTGACCCATAATACGAATCTTGGAAATTTTTGTACATATCATATAATAATGCATACTGATTGTAAGCTATGTCGAGATTCAAGTTGCCATATGGATATCATTGTGAATTGAGAAAAAGTTTTACGTCCCTCAAATAACAATGATTGAATTGACTGGAATCTTTTGTTGCATCATTGTTTCGTGCTGTTTGAAATGCAAGTATTACATATCTCGGTTCCTCCAATTGTGTCGATGTTTTTATCATCCAGACGTTTTTTGTTGTTCTCGGTAACAATGGATATTCATAAGTTTTCCATGATCGCAAACTCACTGGCATCGGCGGATCCTTGGCAATATAATTTAATAATTGTATTTTTCTTGTATCTGACTCTGTGGTGCAGGAAAAAAAATTATCCATTCAATTTTTGTCAATGTAATTTTTTCTTCTGTACTAGCTGTAGCTTGTACTATTGCATTTAGATCGGTGTTTGAACGTATTAAAACAAGTTCATGCTTAGCATTGACAATAATGCGATGATAATCTTCAGCGAATCCCAATAGCATATTCAATGGCAATAAAATGTCAAAGTATCCTTTGTTATCAATTAGCCTTTAATCATTGACAATCTAACCTGTGTTATCTGAATAATTTAATTGACTTGGATGGAGTGATCGATATCCTCTAATGACACTTATAAGACCGACATTTTTATTACGATCAATCTCAATGCCATTCAATTTATATCGTATTTCTTCAAATAAGTAACATAATGCTATGTTTACTAATTTCGTTGTCGCTGCTACAGCTGTGTCATTAGCTTTGGTAAATTTTCCAGCAATATGAAGAGAACTCTTGCAAGATAATAAGCACAAATCTTGATGTTGAACAGTGTTGAGAATTAATGAATTGTCAGTTTGAATTTGCTAGCTGACAGGAACTTCGGCGGCCATCTTGGGACTGGGTCGATAACCAATCGACCAAATAATCAATAATTCTTAATTTAATCAATCATTCGACTAATTTTCAGTGTCCCTTTTAACTAAAGAAGTTCCTGTCGCCATTCTTTCACTGTTCTCGTTCACGTGTACACGCCATTCACATTCATTCTTAACAAATCTGAAAGTTTTGAGTCAATCATCACTACAAGTGCTATTGTAAATTATCGGAGCCATTCAAGCTTCATTCTCAAACTAGATTCAAGTAATATTTCAAGACATTTCATTGTAATTTAAGACATTTCATCAAGATTCATTTTGCATTGCATTGATAGGCTAACGCCACGTGCACAATCACATTCTTGCTCAACTTGAGAAGCGTGCTGAGCCCGTGTGGGAGGTCAATAATACCGAACACACCAAGTTGAGTATTTTTTGGACATTCAATTCAGATTCAATAATTAAAATAGACATTCAGTGATTTTGAGCGACATTCAGTCTTCCTAGTTAATAACACAAAGTTGTCAGTGTATTGAGTATACCTGTTAGTGCTTAAAATAAAGATACTTTATTTTTTATAAAACCTGACTTTCGGCTCTGTTCCGGCACAATCATTCCTATCCTTAAACGGTTAGGTTAAATTCACAAGTTGAGATTTTCTCAACAAACAGCAATCCGGATTTTATCGTTGTTGTTGAGAGAAGCTGATGCATAAGGTTGATGAGCATGTAATTCATAATGTGATATAGCCTCATCAAAAACAACTCCTCTGTTGATAGCTAATGTCTCCTCTCCTGCAGCCATGGCAATGAACATGCGAAACAGCACACTTTCACTTCAACTTTTTTTGTATGCGAAGGCCTA